CTATGCATGAGGAAGTACATACTCTATACTCCTATGCATGAGGAAGTACATATGCTTTACTCCTATGCATGAGGAAGTACGTACTCCATACTCCTATTCATGAGGAAGTGCATACTCTATACTCCTATGCATGAGGAAGTATATACTCTATACTCCTATGCATGAGGAAGTACATACTCTATACTCCTATGCATGAGGAAGTACATACTCTATACTCCTATGCATGAGGAAGTACATACTCTATACTCCTATGCATGAGGAAGTACATACTCTATACTCCTATGCATGAGGAAGTACATACTCTATACTCCTACGCATGAGGAAGTACATACTCTATACTCCTATGCATGAGGAAGTACATTCTCCATACTCCTATGCATGAGGAAGCATATACTCTATACTCCTATGCATGAGGAAGTACATACTCTATACTCCTACGCATGAGGAAGTACATACTCTATACTCCTATGCATGAGGAAGTACATACTCTATACTCCTATGCATGAGGAAGTACATACTCTATACTCCTATGCATGAGGAAGTACATACTCCATACTCCTATGCATGAGGAAGTACATACTCTATACTCCTATGCATGAGGAAGTACATACTCTATACTCCTATGCATGAGGAAGTACATACCCTTTACTCCTATGCATGAGGAAGTACATACTCCATACTCCTATGCATGAGGAAGTACATATGCTTTACTCCTATGCATGAGGAAGTACGTACTCCATACTCCTATTCATGAGGAAGTGCATACTCTATACTCCTATGCATGAGGAAGTATATACTCTATACTCCTATGCATGAGGAAGTACATACTCTATACTCCTATGCATGAGGAAGTACATACTCTATACTCCTACGCATGAGGAAGTACATACTCTATACTCCTATGCATGAGGAAGTACATTCTCCATACTCCTATGCATGAGGAAGCATATACTCTATACTCCTATGCATGAGGAAGTACATACTCTATACTCCTACGCATGAGGAAGTACATACTCTATACTCCTATGCATGAGGAAGTACATACTCTATACTCCTATGCATGAGGAAGTACATACTCTATACTCCTATGCATGAGGAAGTACATATGCTTTACTCCTATGCATGAGGAAGTACATACTCTATACTCCTATGCATGAGGAAGTACATATGCTTTACTCCTATGCATGAGGAAGTACGTACTCCATACTCCTATTCATGAGGAAGTGCATACTCTATACGCCTATGCATGAGGAAGTATATACTCTATACTCCTATGCATGAGGAAGTACATACTCTATACTCCTATGCATGAGGAAGTACATACTCTATACTCCTATGCATGAGGAAGTACATACTCTATACTCCTATGCATGAGGAAGTACATACTCTATACTCCTATGCATGAGGAAGTACATACTCTATACTCCTACGCATGAGGAAGTACATACTCTATACTCCTATGCATGAGGAAGTACATTCTTCATACTCCTATGCATGAGGAAGCATATACTCTATACTCCTATGCATGAGGAAGTACATACTCTATACTCCTATGCATGAGGAAGTACATACTCTATACTCCTATGCATGAGGAAGTACATACTCTATACTCCTACGCATGAGGAAGTACATACTCTATACTCCTATGCATGAGGAAGTACATTCTCCATACTCCTACGCATGAGGAAGTACATACTCTATACTCCTATGCATGAGGAAGTACATACTCTATACTCCTATGCATGAGGAAGTACATACTCTATACTCCTATGCATGAGGAAGTACATACTCCATACTCCTATGCATGAGGAAGTACATACTCTATACTCCTATGCATGAGGAAGTACATACTCTATACTCCTATGCATGAGGAAGTACATACTCTTTACTCCTATGCATGAGGAAGTACATACTCCATACTCCTATGCATGAGGAAGTACATACTCCATACTCCTATGCACGAGGAAGTACATACTCTATACTCCTATGCATGAGGAAGTACATTCTCTATACTCCTATGCATGAGGAAGTACATACTCTATACTCCTATGCATGAGGAAGTACATACTCCATACTCCTATGCATGAGGAAGTACATACTCTATACTCCTATGCATGAGGAAGTACATTCTCTATACTCCTATGCATGAGGAAGTACATACTCTATACTCCTATGCATGAGGAAGTACATACTCCATATTCCTATGCATGAGGAAGCATATACTCTATACCAATTCCAAACAGATGCCCCTAGTGCGTCTTTCTTTCATGAATAGTTTCAAGCTGATTTATATGTTTGATACGAAGACATTCTTAACCTATAATTTTGTATTCAGAGCACTGTATGATCCTGACTCGCGTTCGTACATCAGGATTTTTTATTCATAATATATCCCACAATTATCCCTGTAGGCACTCTACGCAGCTGCACACAAGTTGTGAGCAGTTTTCAATTGGATTTCATGGTCAAAATATAGAACGTTCATCAGGCATTCTGGAAGCCTTAATGTCACCACCAACTGAACTACAACTATTAATATTAAACCTGATGAGACAATGTTATACAGAAATTACTATATTGTATGCAAATGAGAATGCCCTTTATCTGCGCCTTCTGGGAGCAATGTTCGAAAAAAGCTTCTGTACATGTTGTATTATACTTTTTTCATGATTACTGTATAGTTGTTGGATTGAATTGTGTTTATCAGCATGCGCTAGATAAATAAATACAAATAGATAAACCTAATGTACAACACAGACGCCTATCTAAACCCACACACATTCAACTTGGCATGCTTCAATAATGATTATACTTTAAATAACTTCCAAATTAGCCTTTTTTCTCTTTGTCTGACCTTGCGTCTGCTTTGAATTCCAACTTCCTCCGTCTCACCTCCCTCCCTCATCTCGACTCGCCCGGCCGTGTCCAAAACCATCAGATTCTTCCATCTCGTTGGATAAAAATGAGCGCAATTAGGAGTTTGGGATTGTGCTCTTTGGCAGTGCTGCCTGTTACTGCCCGAGGGCTTTCTTGATATGACTGAGATTATTATACGGCGGATGCTCACTCTCTCTGTTTTATACACGTTTTTGGATCACACATGTATTTTTAAATTGATGATGGAGAGCAGTTGCAGTGACAGACTGATACACCCTCGCTGTGTGAAGGAGAGGTTTGGTAGGTCTTTCCTTCCTGCTGCTGTCAGACTGTACAATGAGAACTGCTGAGCCTGTAAATGTCATTCATCTATAAATAAGTAAATACTAAAATCATGTGCAATGTGCAATACTGCAACTTCAGAATGTCCACTAAACAATGTCAACTTTACTTTATCTACTTATCAACCTGCCCAATATGTACAGTATATAACTCTGCAATATATCTATATATGTATATATAAGTATGTTCTTTTTTGAAAGACTGCTATTGAAGCACTTACAGCATTTAAGGCTAGTTAAGAAACATAGCTACTACTTATTTTGTATATTTTTGTGTGCTCCCTGTGTACTCTTACTGTCCTGTATATGCGCTGCAACATTGAAATTTCTCATCTTATCTTATCTTATAATGCACTCGTGTTTCTTTTAAAGGTTTTTTTTGCACGATGGAAGGTGATTGATGACAAGAAAGCCACTATAGAGTTGGCTGAGTGTGCGAGTGTTTGTGTGCGTTTGGGAGTGGACCGTGAAAAGCAGGTTGCGCGCCGAAGGCCATGAATAGCCATCCTGTTGAATAAACTTTGAGCGAGCTCGCCGGCTGATATCTGACCTCGAACTGGACCAAATATAACAGGGGCCTCCAAGAACGACAAGGGGCAGATAATGGAAAGATGAGAGAATGCATTATGTTGGCAACAAAGAGCCTGTATGGTTTTACCGAGAACTAGCCCCGTGAACATTTTTGGAGTTGTACATTTGATACTATAGGGATATGGGGTTTTGAAAACATGGGTTGAAAATGTTTTGTAATGCTTTATATATTGTACTTTTCACCAGATTTTCACGCACCCGATGGTCAAAAGTTATTGGGTTTTAGCATTGGAGTTCTTTCACTAGGAAAAATTTAGCAGTGAAACAACCATATGCCGAGTTTTTTGCAACCTCTACCGGGAAGGTTATGTTTTCATCTAGGTTTGTCTGTCCAAAAATGATCTTTAAAAAGTTATGGGAGATGTTCAAGGAGAGCTCAGATTTATTTTTTATTTTTTGCAATAAGCTTCTTGGTAAAGATTTTGTGCTTTGCATTTTTTTCTCTTGTTCATGATAAAAAGGTAGTTAATATGAATTAGAGATGATAGATATTTTCTTAATTCAAGCAATATTATGATGTGCTGTTGACATTTTGCTGTATCAGTGTTTAATAAAAAAAAGCCTTGGAGATTCAGGTTGAATACATTTGGCAGATGATCAAAATATGTATTTATCTGTTACTTATAATGGGTGAATCATGTATGATACTTAATAATGAAATATACTTAATTAGAATAACACCTTTTGCAGGGCATACAGTACTTTCCAGATGGTGGTTGACATATTTTCAAACTTGTATAATTTGTTTAGCCCTCTCTACTCCTTTGTTTTCACATATTTTTTACACTGATGGAGATGTTCTTGCCAACGAGGAGCCTGCATGTTGATCCCATCACCTCAATTTCATCCTTGTGCTGTTATTTTGAATAATGAACATTCACTACAAAAGATTTTATTTGGAAATGTAGCCAAACACACACTGGGAAATCCAAATCCATTTTTTAACAACTCTTGCATGTCTCAATTTTAACAAATTCAATTTCAACTTGTCCATAGTTATCAGAATCAAGCCGAGATAACAACTTAGCGCCTGACACAAGCCTCTGTAATGATCGGAATAATAACTAGGGCCTAGTCAGGGGTGAAATGCCAACGCGTGACCGATGAGGAGAGACTGAATATGTGCACGCAGCCACACATACTTTTGCATATGCGGCTGAAATAGTAATTCTCGCCTCTCCTCCTCCTCTCATGTCACAGTCTTTTAAGGCGCTCTTTGCCTCACCCTTCACCACGTTTTTTATCTTCCGTCGACTCTCCGCCGTCCTCACCTCCGCCTCATTTACAGCTGCGCTTCTCTTCCTCCGGGGAGCGTTAACCGGGGTCATCCACTCACCCCGCCCTGGAGCCGTGATGAGAGGTGGGGTGAGGAAAGAGGAAGGGGGGAGGCAAGGATGAAGAGAGCTGGGTGGGGAGATTCCGCAGTCCTTTTTGATCCAAACCTTCATAATCTTAGCAAACTATCACATGCACAAAACGATGGGCATGAAATAAATCAAATGGATCAGTTTAAAGCTGGGGATACCTCACTATTTTTTTTTTCTTTTCCGGCAGAAAAACTGAGAGGTGATGAGCTGAGTGAGGCTGGTACTTATTTTGAGAGAGAGAAGCTGGTTTCAAGATGTGAACAAAAATAAATATTAAAACTATTGGATTAAATAAATTTATCCTCACAGAGATCAACAAAGTATCTATCTATTAATCAATTAACATAGATAAATTGAATGAAAATTTTATTTCTGTTTTGTTCATATTTTCCATGTATTGGTGTGTATATACTGTATATAAAAAAAAAAGTGTGCAGTGACCCCGGTACCACCATTCAACTGCACACACTCCCTGAGCTCGTGGCTTTGTGAGGACTAAGCGCAGCATGTGTTTAAATCTCTATAATCACAATGAGGCAAAAGAAGTGAGAAGAATGTGGAAGGACACCATGGATAGTGTAGAAAGGTATGTGATTTCAGATTTTTTTTGTATATACTTTTTATACACACTTAGAATTTTCCATCAAAATGCGTCCAATTGAATTACTGCTTATTCAATTGGTTTACTACAACGAGATAATTTTCAACAAACTAGTAAAAACCTGATCCCTCGTCTACTCTATTATTATTTTTTTACAAAACAAGCTTGTAAAACCTGTGCACTCTGATTGAAGGCGTGTCCACACTGATCGAACCCATTCTCTGTGGACATGGCTAGCAGATGCATTTAAGATCACAGCAAATTTGGATCATTTTAAATGTACGAATTTGTATTTATTCAACACCAATTAAAGGTGCAGTAAGCGATTGTGTTAGCTTAGCCGTAGCACCAACACAAAACCACTTCACCCCTTCCCTCGCCTCTCCACCAAACCAAACATCCAGCTTTTTCCTTTCTTTGTCACAACAGGGAAAGAGGGTTGCAAACGTGAAATTACCATTTTCTGTTCAGCCCTTTTAGGTTTTAGAAACTCCAATTACTCAGGTGCGCACACTTGTGAGAAACAAGAAGACGGCAAAGGGGGTAAATGCATCACATTGGTTCGTTGGGGATGAACAAATCCCATTGGTTTATTTTTATCGGTCTGCTCCAATTATTTTTAACAATTTTTTGGAGACTATAGGCATCTGGTCAATTCCATTACTATTTGAAAACACATGATAACTTGACAACTTTTAGGGTATAGGGACGTTTCCCACAAAAAAATCACTGACTGCATCTTTTTTACACTGTCTCTCGCTTGTTTCCTGGTTTTGTTAAATCAACCAGGAAAGATGGTGTGGTTAATTGCACTGAGGAGATTAATTGACTTGTGCTGCTGCATTTGAGCCTGTGTAATAGTCAAATTTTAAGTAAACACAATGTTGCGTGATTACCAAAAGTGTGGTATTAACAGTTTGTATAATAACAATTTTATTTTCATACTTTTACAAAGTTTGAAACCAGCAATAGGCTTTTCTTCTCATCTGAAAGCTTGAAGTCAGACATTAAACTGGTCAGACTGGTATAAAAAAGAGCCAAATATGTTGTTGTGCGTACTTCATATTTGTATGCTTTGTCAACATACTACAACAATATCCGTTTTAAAAATGTAAGAGCCTAGAGTGCCTAGTTAACTCACCAAGAAGGATCCCAAGCCCGGCTGGAAAAGGAGGACGGTTGGGCATAGGGCTAGCTACCCTACCCCGTGAAAAAAAACAGCAGCTACAGAAACGCCAAAGAGAGAAAACAACAGATTTCTTGTCGGCGACCTATGCCGCAGGAGAGGTAGTAGGCAACAGTAAGTAAGTAGAGCGCATTATGCAAACCATAAGCATATGATCTACAGCAAATATGAGCAGGTTATCACTAATATTTACAATCTATGATCACACCACACCACCGAAACCAATATGTAATGTTGGGGAAACATTACTCATATAGCAAATTTTTCAGACCTAGGTCACCCAAAGCGCTTTGGACATGGTTGTAGGGTAAACAGGAGCACGCGGAAGAAATCTACGCAGGCACAGGAAGAACCTGCAAACGCCACACAGAAAGGCCTGGAGATGGAAACAAACCCAAGAAATTTGTGCTTTGATACTCAAGCTCTAACCGCTGTGGCGCCTGGTTGGCAAGTCTCCGTTATAGCTTCAAAAAAAACATTATTGACTGTGTAATCAAAGTAACATGTGTGTCAGCTTGTATATATGTTTTTTCAAACATAAAAACCCCTTCAGAATTCACTACTCCAATCACAATCCCCAATCGGAACACCTGTTTACGATTCAGTCTTGTTTAAAAATCCAGCCTTGTTTCTGCACTTGCACATGCTTAACCATCTGTGAAAGAATACCCCGAGAGCTCTCCTTATCCCTGTCTGGATCCACTACTACTGCTGCTGCTGCTGCTGCTGCTGTTGTTGTTGTTGTTTTTGTCCCAGACCGGAGTCAAAAATCCGTCCATAGCCACAAACATCTTCAAATTTCAGCTCAAGCCTAATCAGGAAATCGAATGGTGGCTGGCCCCGGTGCATTGTGGGCTTGCTAGTGTCAGCAGCGGTTAATGTGTGCTGTGTTTGGATTGTCAATCGCATATTATTCCAGCCATGGAAAGCCATATTTTTAAAACAATGTTTAGGGATGCATTATCGGTATGATTTTTCATCCAAACATTTCTATCGTGTTACTTTTTTGATGCGGAAGATTTGAAGTCGCCTATTCATCTCTTGTTACCAGTTGCCATTTTGACACTGAAAGGGCGCATTGTTCATCCGGAGACTCATAACGTTGATCTTTGCCCTCTTCGAGACGACATCCTGTTCGTGAGATCATTCCTAAGCTGTTTTGTCATCTAGAGAACTCCTTTCATCTTCGCCTCGCAAACACATGCCCTGTCTGTGTCTCTCTCCGCACCTTTCACCCGGGCAATCTCCATCTCTTCTCCCAAAACCATTATCTCTGTGGCCACCGTCTGCCTTTCCTTTGATCTTCTGTAAATAGTTATCAGGTCGTTGTACTGGATCATGAGAAACACGCAGAATGAGGTGTTTGTATTTAGCATTTTCCATCAAGTTTTCAGGTACAGTATTGTATGTTTCATGTGTTCTCATTGCATGCCCTTCTGTTAATCCTCTGATAGCCACACAAAACGTCAAAAGGTTTTATTCTCAAAATTAACACTAAAAGCATATATTGTAAGTTTAAATGTGTACCCTATATATTGGTGAGAGTGATTCAATATTGAGGGGTCTTGAGAGAAAACTAAGTAAGTAGGTAATCTTTATTTATATAACCTCTTTCACGGACCAGAGTCACAAAACAGTTTATAATTGTGTCCATTTGTCTCTCACTCCACACAGAGATGGGAGCAGGGTCGCCAGTAAAGGAGGCGCATGCCAGACCTATTCTACACGTTTTTAATGGTAGGAGAAATCTACTCAGACATGGGGAGAACATGCAAACTCCAGCCCTGTACCGACCAGGATTCAAACCCAGGACCTTCTTACTGAGAAGTGAGATTGCTATCCACTCAGCCACTGTGTCGGCAAAAACTAATTTCAAGTTTGTTGTAATGTCTTAGTTTGAACAACCAGGATTCAGGTAGAGTTGCAGAATTTTAGAGAAAAATCAAATTTGTCAGGTCAGGGTTTGAAATGTATGTTTTGAAACTTGGATAATGTTGAAAGTGCTTGAGAAGAATTCACCTTGAACTTGAAGTTCTCGTGTTTCTTTATTTGTTATTATTAGTGAATTTCAACTTAAAAGCACACTCTGCATAACACTAAGTTGGATAAGATTGGAGTTTTAAATTTTTTGCTTTAACAGATAAAACCGCTAATTCATTCAAAACTAAAAATCACTGAAATCAAAATAATGCTACCTTATTTACTCTCTGTTTGAGATTTGCACTGATTCTTGTATTTCTAAGTCTGTGGTAGAGCTCTGAACACAAGTAAAACACAATAATCAACTGCTGGATAATTACTGTTCTTAAAGGAAAGGATCTATGTAATTGCTTTCATTGCAGCGAATAACATCTGAATTCTAGATGATTGTGATTAATTATGCGGCCCTATTGTCTGGGGAAATGCATAGGGGTTATACTATAGAGCCGCTTCCACACAGAGAACCCTGCTGCTGTCTTATAGTATCTTTGTCAGCAGGCTCTAGTATTCTCCTCCATGCCGTTTATGACGTAACTGAGGTCGTGATTAGTCCATGAAACAATAAAACCTGTAAAATGAAGATGAACTCATGATAGCTAAAATTGTAAAATGCCTGAATGGTCCTTACAATGTCCCTAATAGCTTCACGACAAACCTCCTAGAAATATAATGGGTCTAATTCTCCTTTTGTGGTCTTTTCACATTTATGACATTAGTGAACTCATCCTCTACCCTCCACTCTATATTCCACTTCAGCTTCCTCTCATCGTGTTCACCATTAGGCCTCTGTTCCACTGTCCACTGATGTTTCGCTCCTCCGCTGACCTCCTCTGTGTCTTGCCTGTGGACTTTCGGCCTCCCATCTGATCATTCCTTTATCTTTTCCCCAAATATCAGCACCTTTCTTCAAATCTTCTTTTCAAGCAGCCACCAGGCCTATATTCTCTGATCACTCCTTCCAGGGTTTCGGTCCGCCCACGCTTCCCTCCCCCTTTCCCTATCTCCCTCCCTTGCTGGTTCCTGACCTCCATCTCCGTGTGATCATCCCCTCAGAGTTAAAGCCATCTGTTCCTGCAGGAGAACCAAGAACTACCCTCATGAGCAGCCACGATGTATTTATGCAGTTTATTTTGGGTGTGTGTTACAAAATGTGACCACAACTTTCTCATTTCTCAAAACTGGCAGCTTTGCATATTCATATGGGTAAAGGTGATAGACCATGTGGCCCAGCTGACAACCAGCCGTGCCGAAGAAGAAGTTTTAAGGCGCTCGCAGATTCCATGTGATAGATGTGTCGAGATGGTGTTGGCGACGATGGTTACTACACGTCGGATACCGGTTTGCGTTGCTCCATACAGTATGTGTGTGTGTCTGTGTATTAATGTGGTTGTACAGTGAGGGTTCAGGCCCTCAGTGGTGTCCCACCTCGATTAGGGAGTAAAAAATGTTTATTCAGGAGCAGCTGTTTCAGAAAGATGTCGACACACTCACACACGCATGCACTCACACAAAACATGCACACGCTCACATGCATGCACACACACACACACTCACTCACACACACACCCACACATTTACACACTCAAACACGCACACATACGCACACACACACACACAAACAGGCAGTGCAGGACGATGTCGGAAAGTGGAATATCAAAACAAAGCAATGAACTGAAACTTTATTAAAATCAAGTCTTGAAAATGAAAGAATGTGTGTGGGGATAGTCCTTTGTCTGCCTTTATTTTCTTTGCCTTCAACACAACTTGTTATTATGTGTATGGTCCATGAAGGAACAAGGACATTTCTGACAAAGGGGTTTGAATTGAAGTGGAAGACGTATCTTTTATTTTTTAACACTAGGAGCGCCCCTAGCGGTCATCTGACCTCACTTTAATATGCTAATTAGTGTATTCAAAACAAAACGCCAGAAGTTGAAATTTTATGACTTTTACTGGGTACTTGTTGTTTATATTTTGGTGTGTTTTGTTTTTGGAAAAAGTAAAGAAAACAAGATTTACACGCATTTTAACTTTTCTAAACCACAGCCATTTCTGCTGCCCCATAGGGATACATGGCGCAGGGGCGACTGTTGTCATAGTAACCTTTCCCGGGGTTTTTTCGCGCCTTATACAAATGTATCAATATGTTGTCATTAGACTCTAAAGGGACTTGAGGTTTTTATTTGGGAGAGAGAAAGAGTTTTGAATTGAGAGGAGTACAACATGAATAGAGCTGCAAGTACACGGTATGAAGCCCAGACAGTGCTTCAAGACATTGAATGAGAACAGTCTGACGGAGGTGAGATGTCACAGCGGGGAGAACACTTATAATATTCTAAATCTGAACGTAAACCCGTAGTGCATTCACGGCACGGACAGCAGTGTTGGAACAAGTCCAGAAGCAATAACGCACATGACCCGCGTAATGCCAGCAATACGCAGGTGTCTGTGTGCGCGCTGTCGCTCCATTCTGCCTTTTCATTCATCATCAATTACATTATTATATTTATACATACAAGAAGGCAATACAGCAGAATACAATATCGCAATAAAATAGAACAATTAGATGAACTATCAAGGCAGAGTGCAGATGGAGCGCTGTGAGGCCTCTCGTCACCCGCGGACACCTGCAGGAGGAGAGCGACTGTGGGTCAGAAGCGGCCCTCATCATATCAATAAGGATATCTTTCTTATTTCATTCAGATAACACTGTGTGTTATTCTGCACAGCGCGCACTGCAAGGCAATGATTATAATTTTCTTCTGATCATAAAGAGCACTGCTTGTCTCAAATAAATACAAATATATATATATAACGTGTCCCGTGTAAAATTGAAGATTGTACATTGACGATGGAAGCCTAGCTGATGATCTTGTGTCAATACGAATACTATTATTATTATCGAGATAATATTTCCCACAGTGATTTAGGCCTCTAAAGAGAAAACAGTCTGGAGATGACGTAAGAAGTAGACGCATAGCAGCGCGAAGACGTTATGGTCCCGTGCTTTTCTAAACAATCATTTATATTGTTTGAATTGACATATTGTTACTGAGTCAAATTTAACATATAGTGACCGACCTTTTACGTGTATGCAAAGTTACAAAATAAATCTAGCCAGAAAAGTCTTCGTAATTTTTTTTTATTTCGGCTGGAATTACAATTACTTAGCATATTTAGACAAATAATTTACACAGTTTCATTATGATCACGATTTCCTTGCAACAACAAATTCTGGTTTAGTGAACAATCAATTTGGCAAAAGGCTGTATCAGCGCAAAATACATAGCGGTCAACTGACCGCAGGGGGCGGTGCAAGGTATGTTTAGAGCACGGCGGTCCTAGTGTTAATGGCACTATTAAAATTGTTTATGTTTATTGTTCAAGCAATTTCATAATCAGTTTGCAGTTGACACATTCATACATGCTTTTACCTGAACAAAAGGAACAGAAAGAAGATAAATCTTGTATATCCTGTCCTTTGTACAAAAACAATAAAATAAAATAAGGAAAGCAAATTGAATTTCCCAATTTAAACCCCAAACACCAAAACCCAAGTCACCAATTGCACAACGCATCAACAGTCCTCAATGTCTCACATTTCGTCAGATACAATCCTCTTTTTTAACCTAAATTATATTCATTCAAAATTTTTACTTTATACATTCTCTTGAACTTCCACACACTTTTACAAACTTTGAGTTCTTCATTCAAGGAGTTCCACAGTTTAACTCCATAAACTGAGGGACATTTCTGTTTCAGTGTTGTCCTGGCAAATTTGGTTCGGAAGTTGTGTTTTCTTCTGTGTCCATCACTCACGCAAAATAGATCTTGCACATAATTGGGCAACATTTTCTGTTTAGCTTTCCACACAAGGAGCAAGATTTTCAAATCAACAATATCCTTAAACTTGAGTTGTCCAGATGCTATAAACAAGATGTTTGTATGCTCTCTATAATGTTTATTGTTAATAATTCTTATAGCTCTTTTTTGCAACAAAAACAAGGGTTTGGTGTTGGTGCTATATGTATTACCCCAGATTTCAGTGCAGTAACTGAAATATGGGAGAACCAGTGAGCAGTACAGCATATGTAACGAGCTACAATCAAATAAATCTTTCACTTTGTACAAGATACCAATAGTTTTACTAATTTTTTTCTTTACATAGTCTATGTGAGCTTTCCAATTAAGTTTCTCATCTAAGACAACGCCCAGAAACTTAACTTCATTAACCCTTTCAATCCGAACTCCATCAATTGTGATTTTCACATCATCACTTTTATTTTTGTTACCAAATATCATAAAGTTTGTTTTGTCCCAATTTAATGATAACTTATTTGCATTAAACCAATTCCTCACATTTTTTAATTCAGCACAAACTCTTTCTGTTAATTCAAGCAAGTTATTACCCGAGTTGAATATACTGGTGTCATCAGCAAACAACAAAAAGTTTAAGCTATTAGACGCTTCACAGATGTCATTGATAAACAAAATAAAAAGCAAAGGTCCTAAAACGGACCCTTGTGGGACTTCACATGTGACCTTTTTGTAATGTGAATTCACCCCCTTGATATGCACATATTGTTCACGGTTAGAAATATAACTTTGAAACCATTGGTGTACTGGCCCCCTGATTCCATAGCTATATAATTTGGACGGTAGCAACTCATGATTTACGGTATCAAATGCCTTGCGTAAGTCAATGAATACTCCGACTGTATATTCTCTTCTTTCCGTAGCAGCTGTTATTTTTTCAACCAATTCAATAAGTGCTAGGCTTGTAGATCTTTGTGTCCTGAACCCATACTGTTTTTCACTGATTAAGTTATGTTTATCTAAGAAGTGTGTAAGTCTATGAGAGAACCATTTCTCCAGGACTTTGGAAAACTGAGAGAGCAGCGACACTGGTCTGTAGTTGTTAAATGTATGTTCATCCCCATTTTTGAAAAGCGGGATTACTTTGGCGACTTTCATTTGATCCGGAAAAACACCAGTTTGTATAGACAGATTACAGATAAATGTCAAAGGTTTGATAATGCAGTCGATAGTTCTTTTTATAATGAACATGTCGAGTCCATCACTGTCTGTGGAGGTTTTACTTTTACACTTTTTTACAATAGATAAAATTTCGTTTTCAAAGACCTCTCCCAGAAATATAGACTGCATTATTCTGCTCCCCATCTCAGATGTTCCCCTTTGATTCGATCCGTCCATACTCTTGGCTATATTAGCTCCTATATTAGTAAAAAATAAGTTAAATTCATCAGCAATCTTTCTTTTATCATTATGAACAATATCATCCTCAATGAAGTAATCAGGTATGATTTTTTGTTTGGAGTTGGGTCTGATTGCTCTGTTTAGTACATTCCAAGTCGCCTTCATGTTCCCATGATTTTCTCTCAGTTTTCTGTTATAGTAATCCTTCTCAGCATTTCTCATAATGGTAGTTAATTTGTTTTTGTATAGTTTGTATTTTTTTTCGTTATCAGTGTTCCGGTTTTTAACATAATTTTTATACAGTTTATTTTTCTTATGACATGCTCTTATTATTCCTCTTGTAAACCATGGTTTATCAGTTCTAGTAATTTTTTTGGATTGCTTCAATGGACACCAAATATTATATAGTGATATAAAAGTATTTAAAAAGGAATAATAAGCTTCATTCACATCACCCACATAGACTCCAGACCAGTGTTGCTTGAGAAGTTCGTTTCTAAATTGTTGGATATTAATTTCTGTTCTGACTCTGCAGTATGTAGAGTAATTCAGCTTTTCATATTTTCTAGGCTGCAGGTCATAGATGGTAAAAACAGGCAGGTGATCGCTAATGTCATTAATCAACAAGCCACTTGATATAAAGTGGTCTG